AAAAAATAATTTTATCAATGATGCAGTTATGATATATTATTTAGTACTTACATCATCTGTCTTCTGTCTCTTTGCTTGTACCTGACCYGGTTCAGCAGCCTCTATTGCACCAATGTGAAACAACTGACGAACCAAACTAAGAGCACAACTTTGAGCTGCTTGCTTCTTGGTTGACGCATTAGCAGTACCACGAATAGCTAAGGAAAATGTTAACATTTTACAATTATAATATATCTCAATTAAGCAATTATTATTAATAATTATTGGTTATGCCCACAAAATATTAAGTAATATCAGTTTCTGCAAACGTCATGGTGCACCGAGGTCTACATGTACATGTAGCTTGGTTAAAAACCTCTTTTCTTCATCATGTCGGAYATGGTGTTGTTGGGGGCGTGTCTTGCCGGGACCTCGAGTCTGTTCGCCTGCCCCTCATYAWGCTTGTTTGCATTTGTTTTTTATTTAGTTTTTGTTCTTCTTTRTAAGTAAAGCGTGATGGAAGCCTCTAAATACTGTTAATTAAATGCATGACTATAAAAACTACTTTTTAATACAGTCACTATCAGCATWATCATAGGTATTCAAAATAAACTATCTCTGCAGGTTAAATAGAGCATTTTCAATCTAGCAAGTTAACTGCAATAGAGATGGCAGTCATAATGCTGTACCTAACAAAAGAAACTAATGGCAAAGTTATTGTACAYCAATATGGTGGCTGTGATGTAATGAGAAAATGATTCATGTAGCTTAATAATATTATCATGTTAACTTACTTTTGCGGTGACTCTTTATAAAAACTGAAAGYTCAGCCTTGAATGACCTGCAAATAAAAGGAATATGCTCAACAAAAACTCACATGACTGATATAAATGCTTTTGTTCAAGAAATAGAACACACACAATAATTGCTGCATGCTGTTACGGCAAGGATTGGTACAACACAAAAACTAACTTGGTTATAATCAGAGTAGCATAACACATAGCAGGCCTCTACTTATTGGCTTTACCTATTATGATCAGGACCAACAGTGCTATACTGGAATTCAGCAGGCAGCCTGTTCTGCTGTAAATACTGATGCAATCTTGACTTGGCATTGACAAGTGTCCAGTTGCCATGGAGATGAGCATCTAGATCAAGATCTTCTGCCTAGCATTATCATTAAACAAAATATATTGAGAATCATGTTACAAATTCAAGCAGTCTGGTAAATCAGTCATTTTTTTCTTCTTCATTGCATAAGTAGAGCTAATGGGTCTCTCTTGCTTCTGCATATTTACGAGGACAGTGGAGCACTTTTGAAAGTGGGGAAAGGGGGGGGGGGGGGGGGATGGGAGGGGTGCTCAATAAATTCCACCTCTTGCTACCCCCTGGAAAAGTTTTTGGCTTTGTATCAGAAACATAAAATTTTGCTTTGATGAACAATAATG